ATCTTGGATATTTTAGTAGACGTTGCAAAATATCTACACAATATACTACAGTGTGATTGATTGATTTAGATCTTTAAGTAGGTATTAATTCGAACTTAAATAAGGTGATTTAAAAAGTCTGTCAAAATTCCAATAGAACATAAGGCTTGTTAGCTTAAGAAAAAAATACAGACCCATCCGGAAGAAACCATGAAGACAAGCGTATATTTCTGTATTTGTAGGTACCAATTCAGCTAAAAAGAACACGTTAGAAAATGGTTGTTTCCTCGATATCGAGGAGGAGGAAAATGCAAAATTGCTTTTCAAAAAGAGATTGAAAAAATTATTTCAAAGTTTGCCTGTGGACAGGGTTATTCAGATAATACTCTTCATAATTTTCAAATTTCAATTGCTCAAGTTTTTTTATTGAGTAGGTACATTTATTTATATGTTCGTTAGGTTTCACTTTGATTCTGTCCCCTAACGTTTCGAGACCCAGCAATATAATCAGATTAAGACCGTATAATTGCCGCTTCTTTCATTAAATGATTCATCATCAATTCATTCAAACAATATACACAAGAGCTGCCTTTGAGAGCAAAATGCCGACAGAGGTTCGATTCTAAAACAGGTCAGGCTCTGAATCTAATTTGATTTTCGAGATAAAAAATAAGTATATATGAAAATATTTATATGAAAAAATGGGTATATAATATATAAAAAAAACATTGAGTATTCACATTCTCTTTGTGATGGAAATATCAATTATATCTCGGTTTATTCAACAGAAAACAATTACTTTTCTGGCTATATGCCACGACGAACATTTAATTATATCTCTCGAACACACACGATGAGAATTTGAAACCAAAATCTTCTGAGGTTGAGGATGTGTATTCTCCTTCAGATAAAAATATGTATGCACATAATATTCTGAATATTCAACAGAAAACAACTACCTACTCTTCTGGCTATTTGTCACGTCGAACATTGAATTATATCATTTATATCTGTTAAACATCCATCCCTGTCTCCCGTCCTGTTCAAACAGAAACATTTCTTTGGAAATTCAATTTGAACAAACTATTAGGAATATAAAATTGGAAAAAAAAATCTGTGTCTTTACTCACCATGATGAAGAATATTTTTGATAGAAACTATAGTGTTCTCGTATTTTTTATCTTGGTCCATCCCTGGTATTAACCAACATCCACCTAACTGCCAAATAATGAGGCAGAAGAAAATTTCCAAGTCCAGATGGTCTGCTGTCGAATTACCAAGAACAACAATTATAATAATTTCATTTTGATGCACATCGTACAGGTGTAGACTGAGGTTCTATTCTCAGAAGGATACAGGCCGATAACTTCAATTTTCATCAACGTTTTATTATTGATGGAAAACTGAAATGTCTATCAAAATGAAATTCATTTAATCATTTTCATATTTTGAGTTGTCTACTGGAAAATCTTCTGAAACTATACAGGGGCTTATTTTCCAGTTCAAAATAAGACTTTATTACCTATAAGTAAATATGTCTGCAAACGCTTCGTTATCGGTCTAGATACTGAGCATTGAAGTTTTGAGATTTTTTATTTTATATCAAGGTTTGTTCGGTTTCTTAGTCTATGGGCTATGTTTGGAAACTTGTTATCAACATAACAAACTAAATATGTAGCGTTTTTGTTTCAATTGTGATATTAGTTTCCACCCTTTTGTTGAAAATATTGCAGATGCGATAAAATTACAAGAGGCAAAAAAGTTCACAAATGAAACAAAGATATCATTTTGTATTTCAATATCTACCAGTGGGGTACCAAAAGAGAGTTTATGAAGCGAAAAAGGGCTTGACCCCTGAAAAACCATCTCCCTGTAGATTACAATCACTCGACATACTGTATCATGTGGACAGATGTTTATAAAAAAAAGTCTCATTTTGATTTGAAAATAAATAAGCACGCATGAAATCTTGATTTTAGTTTTGAAACACCTTGTATATCATTTTCATTTCAGGATCTTATTGATATTATTTCTAGAACTCTCTTTAATTTGAGATATCTAAAAATGCCTTTTACCTATTATCATAAGTAATATCACGATGTTTCGAATATTTGAGATGATTCTGTCGTTTCGTATTCAGAACAGACTGGTATTTTGCTAGACTATTTCACGTTCACGAAGCATGACAAAAATTTATTGTAAATGATTCATTCCGCGATGAAAACATCAACGCTGATAGACCAATCAGAATTGAATGACAGCTGATGTCTTCTCGATAAGCACACGTCTCTGGCTTGTGATTGGTCAGAATGTGAGATGAGTGAAATACCCTTCCCAAATATGTTATGGTGAAGTGAAATCATTTGGAACACCTCAGAAATAACATATTCAACGATATAACAGACGACTATAATTCACGATGATTATAGTAGGTATGTATTTTGTTAACCTATTTCAAAGGTACAGGAAAGAAATATAGATAATTTTCTATTGTTCTAACGTTGAAATTGATAATAAAACAGTTGAATGAAACCCACACAAGTCAACTTTCTCAACATTATTTGTTGTTTGATTCGATATTTTCTCTGAAGTACGGTCCTGTTCTCGCCGCCTTTGATCCAACCAGTTTTCTTTCAAATACTTCATTTATAAGGAGATATTTCAAGTATTTAAATCAGTCGGCTGTTCTCTTGTAATATCACGATAAAATTAAGACCAGCCGCATAATGACAAAACAAAACAGAGAACAGATGAATCTGGTGAATTCGTGAAGCTGGAGCGATTCGAATCGGACCCACAGAAATTATATACAGTGCGAGTCTAACTGAATTCAATAAATCAAAAACAGTAGTGGGAAAAAGGTCGATCAGTATTTTGAGTTGCGCTTTTTACACGGGGTATTGCTAAATTGTTGATTATACTTATGATTCATCGACCATTGACCATTATATACCTTTTCATGTTCAAATTGAGACTTATCAATTTCAAATTTGAATTAAACATATCCAAATTGGTAAACATATTCGAAATGGGAATAAACACAATCAAATTGGGAATAATCATTTTCAAATTCAGAATAAACAGTTTCATATTGGGAATTAACATATTCAAATTGATTAACACAATTTGAGATCAAACAACTCGCAAACAACTTCAAATTGGGAAATGAATTATTTTAATTGATATTGAGATTGAAAATCAAATCCGTGAGGGGCTTTATTAAGACTGGTGATTGAATCAGGATGAAATAGGAGAACAACGGGAAGGAGAAAGGAGGACCAGAATTACTCAAGATCAAGAACATCACATCAATGTACAGAATTAAATAAATATAAACAATAGCGATATAATATGGATAGATATGTAGCCATATAATGTTCATGATGCTCTGAAATTAATTGATATAGGTATTATAAATAATAAATATGTGTTCATTACAGTCGTTTGTAATCAAAGTCCTTCTAGATATAGAATAAATATGATATATCGAAATAAAAATAAGTGGAAATTCAAATTCGACAACTGATGTGTTTTTTTGTGGGATTACGTGTTTTCTATATATCTTCAACGAAATCACTACAGAAATAAACAACTCCATATTGTTTAGTTCCGATTTGAAATTGATTCGTTTCTATTTGAATTTGCTTATTCTGAATTTGGATTTGTTAAATCCGTGTCAAATCATTTTCTCCCAATTTGAATTGATTGTTCCCAATTTGAAAGTGAAGTCTTAATGTGAAAATGATAAATCCCAATTTCAAGTTGAGAAGGTATAGAAGGGCACACAAACTATCTGTTGCGGTTGCCTTTGATGAGCACAGCCCTGCCCACATCCAGAATACGATAACAGATTCACCAAACAAAATCATGAAATCCATTTGGGTTCCAACTCGGGTTCCATAAGGAAAACGATCCAACTACCTCTGATTTCATATCACAAAATTTAAATCAGGCAATCCAATGACCTGTCAAACAATGCAGGGTTAGCACACTGGCACACAATGAAATTATTTATGTGTGATACCTGAATCGTAAACGCGAATTCCTCTTGGTATCAGAAGAACAAGTATCATAATCAAACTGTTATATTATGGTCATAATATAATAAACACGAGCACAAATGACATGGACAAGGGTTACACTTGCTCACCACTCGGCTGCCATCAGCCGAATACTATATGAACCAGTCTTTACACACGTCTGTCATATAGGCTCTGATCTAAGCACATTCCACTGAGCAGTGGCGCATCTAGTTGCTAGATGCTAACACAAACAAAATCACAAACTGTAACTATTTGATTGTTTTTGTAACATCATTCTATTGATTTCATACATGGTTCCAACCGAGGTTCCAACCGGGCGCCATATTGATTATAACCTGAGTTGGATTGCCTAATTGTTTTGAATGATAACCTTTGTTTTCTATTAACTATTTTTGAATGTAATATCAAGTTATACACAACTATAGAATTTCAAATTATTAGTCCTTTATCCCAGATTTTTTGGGATTTTCTCTCCTCGTTTCTATAAAATAAAACTATGAATATTATTTCAAAATGAAGAAAATAAATAAATAAAAATATCAAATCAATAAATAAAAATATCAAATTTTAACGTAGCTTTGGGCGTTTCGGGAACGAATCTGTTCCTGTTTTCAACATAAAAAATGGATTTTTTGTATCGCAAATTCGTATTTGTCCTGACACTTTTCAGTTCTCTACTCTACTGTCTATCTACCATCGAATAATTTAACCACAAAATTACGCATTTCGAATATTATTGTTCAAATCTTTCTCACGAAACACGAAAAAAAATTGCAAAAAACTATACTATTTTTTTCTTCATCTGCATATATACGACCTTCACGTTCTGATCGAAGGCAATAAAGGTATCCCACTTTGTGCAATATTGATGAATCACCCTGTATATATCATATCATGTGACATTAAATCGTTATTTGAATGTGTAAAAAAGTTCGATGTTATTTTCAAGATTTTTTATGGAAATCTTTTTTTTTTCAGATGATTTCTTTATGGATAAGCGTTTGCATGGCGTTTCACAGTACAGCTGGAGAAGTAACTGTGGAAGAACCAATCGACTCGAACACTATACAGCGGTTCAACCAGAACCCGGAGCAAAATGACACCAAAGACAACGAAGTGAAAGCTTTGAAAAAAGTCTTCCTGTCGAACAGATCGATAACATGCAACGATGGATCTCAAGCAGGGTAAATAAAATAGCCAAAATCAAAATCTGTATCAGAATGAGAGTTGAATATGAATCAAATCCTACTGACGTCATGAATATTACCCACTTTATAAACCACACTTTCGAAATAAAGCTCAAAAAACATAGAAAACCTAGTAATTTATGTATTATTTTATTGTGTTTCAGTTTTTACTTGAGAAAATCGCAGTCCAGTAAAAAATGGATAATATTTTTAGAAGGTGGCTGGTATTGTTATGACAGCCATACATGCAGAAACAGATGGCTAAAACAAAGGCATTTCATGACGTCATCTAAGTGGCCCGAAACAAGAGATGGTGAGTAGTCTTCATTGAAATTGAAAATGAGTAGGTGACCCTTAATTAACTTCCTCTTTAGTCTTTATCCAATCACGAACTATCCATAGGTTTGAGACGAGTACCTAAATCATTCAGTATCGTCATAAAATTCTTTCAAAACCTTTGTATAACTCATAATGGCATTGGGGATTCGAGGAATCATCACCAAACACAATAATTCATTAAATTTTTCAAAAATCCCGTTCGAAAACTCCTTTAAAACCTCTATAAAACTACTTCTGAAATATATTTCCGTTTGAACAACTTATAAAACTGATAAAATTCAGCAGCACTGATATACTTTCGATTAGTTGCCAGTTGAAATAATATACAACCATGAAACAATTCGACAACCACTATTTGTGCTTATAAAACCTGTTAAATACTTGTGCTTATAAAACTCCTATACAACCTCCATAAAATGTCTATAAAACCTTATCTCTAATATCCTTCCACAGTCAGCGGCATATTGTCCCCGAACCCCAAAGAGAACCCCTTCTGGCACAACGCCAACTACGTGTTCGTTCCCCATTGTACCAGCGACTCGTAGAGCATCACCAAGCCTAAATTAAACTTTCAAATAACCTGCTAACCACTTGTAAACTAACTCATATCCAATTTGTTTCCACAGTCGGCGGCATATTGTCCCCGAACCCCAAAGAGCACCCCTTTCCAGTAAATTTCCAACTACTGGTTGTGCTCATAAAACCACTATAAAACCCCTATACAACCTCTATACAACTTCACATCTAATTTTATTCCTCAGTCGACGGCAGTATGTTAACCGCTTGTTGCGCTTATAAAACACCTATACAACCTTTATACAACCTCTATGCAACCTCTATAAAATTTCATATCCAATTTCCGTCTACAGTCGGCGGCATATTGTCTCCGAACCCCAAAGAGAACCCCTTCTGGCACAATGCCAACCACGTGTTCGTCCCCTACTGCACCAGCGACTCGTGGAGCGGCACCAAGCCCCCCTCGCCCTCGCAGCTGTTCAGCTTCATGGGCAGCTTCGTCGTCCGCCAGGTCGTCCGCGACTTGGTCCCCTTGGGTCTGGAGAACAGCACCGACCTGTTGCTGGCGGGGAGCAGCGCTGGGGGCACGGGAGTGATGATCAATCTGGACTACGTGAAGGAGTTGCTGCACGAGGAGTTGAAGTTGACGCATATCAATGTGAGGGGGGTGAGCGATTCGGGGTGGTTTTTGGACAGGACGCCGTACATGCCGACGAACAAGCCGGCGGTGGAGGCGATTCGGAAGGGGATGGAGTTGTGGAGGGGGAAGGTGCCCAGGAGGTGTAGGGAGGAGTACCTGAACGAGCCGTGGAGGTGCTACTTCGGGTACAGGCTGTACCCGTCATTGACAAGTGAGTGGATCTTTAGGAATATCTGTCGATGAGAACTTTTCTTTATGAATTCACCTGCATTGTGTCCCATTTTCGATGTCCTTTCACGAGATATCTCTTTTTTTTCAAGATAAAGATTTGCAGTTTTCGCGAACGTTGACTTTTTTGTGAATTTCGCTTTACCGTGAACACAATTTTCATAGCTCGTTTACTTTTCAAAATACAGGGCAAAATTAAAAATGTTGCATTTTGTGACCACCCCTCTAACTCTGCTATCTTATAACTCATAGGAAAAGTAAAAATTGACTGTTTTCCTTTCAGTGAAGTAGTCAGATTGATTGAAATGAGCTGTTATTATTTAGATATAACTCAAATTTAAAAAAAGAGTTTGAAATTTTGAAAAATAACATGCATAACATTTTCACAGTCACTGATTTGATTGAAATAACAGTAAACTAATGTTCTATCAACATAATGTAGAATTTTATTTTTGATTCGTTGAACAGATCTCAGGTAGATCAATGGAAAAAAATATCTAATAATGTTCGTATTGAAAAATGCCACGTTTGGGAAATAGGGAATTGAGTTGATTGGAATGTTTCAATGATTGGAATTTTCAGTGATTCGCGGAAAATGTATGTGCAGCGTATACACCGCTAATTGTTTTTTGGCACTATCGGTCAATATATTGGGACCCATGAAGGCCAATTTGCGTTTTATGAGTGCAATAAAAAAGCCAATTTGATTCTCGCATAAACCCACGAAACCTGATTGAAAAATATATTTGCGAACACAAAATATGAACTCAAATGTACAATCGAAAATGAAAATTGATGTTCTAGAGATAAACAATTATTATGATATACAGTGTGGATATCTTTGATGGGATAAAAGGCCTAACCTTCTTTATATTGGGGTTAAAATGATCTTCTTCTCCATTTTTTCCCATTCCCAATGTTACAAACATAAAATGCCCATCTTTTCACGTTGTGTCTTTCCCATCTGTCCTTGTCTTCAGTGTTCCAACATAAAATAATGAAAATTTTATATTGGTAACACTGGAAATGAGAAGAAATGGAGAAGAAGACCATTTTAACTACTTTTATATTGAGGTTATTATGATCTTCTTCCCAATTTCTTTCAATTTCTCATTGTTGTTATTTTGATAACATCAAAATTGGGAAATTATAGGGACCGGACAGCAGAAGCCGAAAAAATACAAGACTAGATACTAGACACAATGATAATTCCATGATAGATCGAAAAAATAATGCAGTCTATACATACAGGGTGTCCGGAAATTATGCGCAAAAAATTAAGGGGTGACTTGGCATGAGAAAACATGAAATCTATTTCATATATACGGGGTCCGGAAATGCATAGTTTAGATACAGTGTGTTGAACTTTTTAGAAAAAATTGGTAGTTTGAGAATATCTCAAATATCCTTCCACCGATTCTCTTCAAATTTGGCAATGATATTCTTTGTCATGAGGGCCATAATTGAATTGGAATTGTGAAATCCAGTTGCCTACCGAATATTATTGTCAATAAAATGTACGCACTGATTTTTCTCAAATTCTATATCTTCATACCCTATTGATCAACTAAAAATACAACATTTTGGTCTCCTGAACCGTTTTGATATTTTGCTTCGTTTCCGTGGAAAAAAATAAATACCAATTCATTGTATACAAAGAGGGGTGGAATCAATTGTGTGATCCATGCCCATAGATGTGGAATATGAATGAAGATTCAATTCTTCCGAATATTTTATAATACATGTTTGACACACTTTGTATTATCGAAAACTACGCCTTCCTGGACCGAGAATACATAGTTCTCAATATACAGAATGTAGAGTGTGTCAGACATGTATCAACAAATATTTGAAGAAAAAGAATCTTCATACTTATTCTATATCTATGGACATTGATCACGCATTCATTTCCAGCCCAGTTTTTGAAGGACTTTGGCACAAATTCATGCAATAAATTGGTTTTTTCCATGGAAATGAAGCAAATTGTTGGTTTTTTTAGTTGGTCAATAGGTTATGAAGATACAGAATTCAAAAAAATCAGTGGCGCACATTTTATTTACAATAATTTTCGGTAGGTTGTTTCCCGGGACGCCACTGGATTTTATAATTCCAATTGAATTATGGCTATATCTGCCTCTCATATCAAAGAATATCATTGTCAAGTTTCAAGAAAATTGGTTGAAGGACATTCGAAATATCCATCAGAAATCGATCTTTTTTAAAAGTTTTGGTAATTTTACACTTATCATGCGATGGGTTTTTTTTTAGAAAAATTTTTTGGTACTTACGTATTTTTATCTGAAAAACACGAATTTGCTAATGAAAATGTGAACAAACCATTATTTATTAAGGTATTTTACTATAAAGTTACAAATTTCACCATCTTTTCCGCCTGTCTTCTGGATCACATTTAGAACAATTTGCCCTTCTTTTTCCATCATTGGACAATTTATATATATCACACAATGTTGGACACATTATTTTTATTATATGAGTCAACTAGAAATATGATTTTCTTGTGATTAATCCATGTTTAGTGAAAAGAAGGAAGAATATCATTTGAAATAATGGCGTGTGTAATGTCATTCCAAAGCAATCTATTGACATTTGAAATCTCGTATTTGGATTGCATATGGATTAAATGGCCGTCATCTGGTATGCTTGCTCACTAAAAAGGAAAAACTCGCCATAAAAATCATATTTCCTGTTGAATTTTCTATCTTAAAATGTGTCAGTGAAGTACATCATGAGTATATAAAGTGTCCAATGACAAAATAATAAGAGCAAGTACCTACCTGTAAATGCATCCAACACAAGGGGGAAAAGAAGGCAAAATTTCGAACTTTTTCTTGAAATATCTCGATAAATAGTGGTTTGTTCACATTTTCATTATCAAATTCGAGTTTTTCAGACAAAAATACGTAAGTACCAAAAAAAATTTCGAAAAAAAAACCCATCGCATGATAAGTGCAAAATTACCAAAGTTTTAACTCACCCTATGTTGAAAACTATGAATTTCCCGACCCACGTACATATGAAATGAATTTCTTATTTTATCATAATATAGAATCACCTCCTGGATTTTTCGCACATAATTTTGCGGACTCTCTGTATAAGAAATTGGCCCATAGAAATGAAACAATTTTGCTTTGCAGCCGAGCTTTTCGTCTTCCAATGGCTGTTCGACGAGGCCCAAATGGACGTGGACAACGTTGGCGCGCCGGTCACCAAGCAGCAATGGGACTACATCCACAAAATGGGCGACGGCCTGCGCCAAAGCTTCGAGAACGTTTCGGCAGTCTTCGCGCCATCCTGCATCTCTCACGCCGTGCTCACCAAGAAGGACTGGCAAAAAGTCGAGATCGACGACACGTCCATAGCAGAGGCCCTGCACTGCTGGGAGCAGAAGACGAGCAGAAGAAGACTGAGGCGGTTGAAGAGGCTGAAGAGCGCAGGGCGGTTCGCCGACTCGCCCGGCGGGATGCGGAAGAAGAAGAGGCGGAATGGCGGGATGGGCTTGCGCAACACGCCGCCAGAGGTCAACGATGTCGGCAAGAAGAAGAGGAGGCGGGCGCGGAAGAACAGAAGAGGACGAAAGGATAAAGGTGAGGCCAAACGAATTTGAATTGTGTGTTTATGGAAAAGTCATGGAAGTCTTTAACTTTGACGTACATATTCTGAGACTGGGAACACTGTACACCTAACTGATGATCATTTCAAGAACTATATTTTTCAAAAATCTGAACGCAATATTCAACTTACCCATGGAATGACAATTTACTTTCATCTTGCTCGTTCTTGCATCCAATGGCGACACAATAAATCACCACTGTTTATCAAAACCTTCTCAACAATCAGTTCACAGTGTTAACATCAACAAATTCAGTCCTTTTTATAAAACAAAACACGCCAAATGAATAGATATTTCACATAAACAAAGACAATGAACTTATGTCTTCACTTTCTTGCCTGTTTAGACGTGAGAAAAAAATCTAAAGTACTTTAATCATTTGATAAAAGCAAACGTAAACACCAATCCACCAAACAACACGAGTGGGAAAGAGACAGGTTACCGTAAATCATGCTATCTTTGTTGCAGCTGCCCCTGACACACTTTGTGCTATTCGAGAGAACGGCCGTCTCCCTTTCAGGTGTATTGAGTTCATTGCACGAATGTACTATGTACTAGCTCTGGCAATACTGTATAATACCATTTGGCTTTTTCTTTTTCCAGACCGTGCGCACGCGCATTCTCAATCGCAGAACGAGAATCGAGCTACGCACCACCCCAACAAAAGGACTTCCGCGCAAGACCGTCCCGCACGGTCAGTCCAGCAGAGTCCCAGGAGGCCTGGGAAGAGGCACTGCTCGCACAGGCGGCTGGAGAGGTGTTCCTGGCCGCAGTGCAACCACTCGTGCCCCAGGCTGCACAATCCCTTCACCGGGGAAGAGATGGACTTCATCGAGCTGCTCAAGTCCTTTGGCCTGGACATGAACAGCGTGGCTGACGCGCTCGGCATAGATATGCAGACTCTCAATAATATGGACCATTCGGAGCTGTTGAATTTGTTGACGCAGCAGTCAAATTACTGATTTATTGCTGCCGAACATCCAGAAAAATGGACTTCTAGAAACATCTTTGGAGATGAGAGTCTCTAAACAATAATCTATCTACTGCCAAAGTATTGCAAGCTAAATATGAAACCATGTATAGACCATTTCGATCTGTTGAGTTCATCAAGGTAACAATAATTTTTTGTATGTAAATTTGGTAATCCAAGGGACACACAATTTTCACAATCCAGTTTTGAATACCTTCAAGTGGGTAGTAATTGATCAATCACAAAATAGTTGTTCAGCAAGATGAGTCCTTTTGGCAACCAACAAAAAATTGCTTCTGAAGAATACTAGAACTTTTTGGTGTGAGAGCTAAATTAAGTCATCGAAAATCGTTCATGTCTATTGCACCTTTTTGAAAATGTTGCAGACACAATATAGGACATTTGGAGCTGTGTATGTTGACACAGCAGTCAGATTACTGATTACTCAAGGACGGACCTCTAAGTGAGAAGTTTCTTGGTTGATAACAAAAATATTGACTGCTAGAAACATCTTTGGAGATGTAAGTCTCGAAACAATAATCTATCTACTGCTAAAGTATTGCAAGCTAAATACGGACTACCTTGTATAGACCATTCCGGTCTGTTGAGTTTATCAAGGATACTACACAGGATATTTTCTACAGGCAGCTTGATTTTTTCTCCCATTTAGCCGACAATAGGCCGCGTGCACGATGACCGACCCTAGAAATCTGAAATATTGAAACACATCCTCACTCTCCTGTGAATTATTGAAACACAACCTCACTTTTTTTATTTGTTTACAGAGGAATCAAATGATTGAAATAGTTTTTCACGATATTTTGGCATACGAATCGTGTTTTTTGCGCTGTTCATTAATTCAAGCATGCCTTCGCATTGTGCTGTTGTACAATGCACAAAAAATGCAGCGAGAGACGAAGGAATGTGATTTTTCAGGTAAATAGTAATCTCAAATAGTTTTCAATATGAAATGTTGTCATTTATTATTGAAATTCCTTCTGCCACTTCTGGAATATAGAAGCTAATACTGCTAATAGATTGAAAATGTCTACAACACACACGATCATATTTCGTCAGTATGACAGACCAGTCTTCTCGTTTGATTGCATGTTGCATGAATACAATCTTCTTGCATTATTTAAGAAATTTCACGAGTATTTCTATAAGTTCCTACTGCAGAAGGAATTCCGATCAGGAATCAGAGAAATTACCAAATTTCAAAAATGGATGGAATGAATCATAATGTACCAACCGGATTCCTTCGTCTCCCGCTGCGAAAAACACGATTCGTATGCCAAGATAATTGGGAAAAACTATTTCAATAACCTGTAAACAGATATGAAATAAGAAAAGTGAGGTTGTGTTTCAATGTTTCACTTCCAGGGTCGGTCATCTGACAGTCCTTGGATATAATTCTGAAAGTATTTGGGGCGGAAAATATAATGTTTTTAGCAAAAAAATCGTTCTGTCTCTGAAGATGGAAGTATTTTTGATGATCGATCACAAAAATATCGTCTTTTGGAACCCTTCAAAGAGGGGATTATTTTTGGTACGTCCCGAAAAAATGTCTCGGAGGCTATTTTAACGAGCAAAAGTATTAATCACTTTTGCCAATTTTTGGTGGAGAGATGAAGTCTTCATCTGGTTCTTTACCAAAAAAGATGTTCAGAACTGGTATCCCTTGAAAAATGTATGAACAGTTCATTCCAAAATGATTGACGATTCCCCAGTGATTGTTTATTATATAATATCAATATAATAACAGGAAATACATATTTATACTGTAAATATTAATTCATTGTGTATATAGTTTAGGTAAGCAAAATTTTATTCGTACTAAGTATTAATTGAAGATAACTCATCACCACAAATGTGAGCATATTTTTATTTTATTATTTATTTATATCTTGGGAACTGAATATATCCTTATGTATTTTTATACTTTATAAATTATTTTCTATTAGATAAGAATACTTTATAGATGCTAGAATACTTCGTTTATAGGGTTTTCAAACTCATACCTATTCAGAATTCCATGTCATGTACATAGTTGCTATTTATTTCTATAAAAAATGTCAATATTATCTTATCCGGGCAAAATTTTGTACAGGGTGTGTCTCATTTCAGTTCCAGTTGATATAGGTTCTCTCCTACAATTGAACAAATTCTAATTAAATGAGACACGCCTGCCTGTATATTTTCGAATTATCCATTCCTTTAACAATGCATTTCATCCAAAGAATGTTTGCCCAATGTAATACCGGACTGATTTTTGTTCTACCTCAGTTGTACAGATCTTCTTTAGTTTTTTAAGTTCGTTTAATTTATCTGTGAAAATATTTTTTGTATATTATTTCAATATACCATACTATGCATGATAAATCGGATTTTTTTTCTCTGAAATATAATCATTTACTGCAATACGGCTTTCGAAAAAGTTGATTTTTGTTCAGGTTTCTTCCAAGAAGAAAAGTTAAGAAACACTAAGTAGTGGCACAACGATCTGAAAGACAATATTAAATAACTAGATCATTGAAGTGGCTTCATGACTAAGAATACACGCTGTCTTGATGCATTTTTTCTACTCACATAACTAAAATCGAATTTAGCGTACCGTTATGTACCACGCTAAATGATTGATTAATCACGAATTGACGATCTGTGATTTATTCAAAATATTAAACACGTTACCATGGCAACATGATTTCTCAAACACGTTACCATATGGCAACACAGTTCATTAAACACAGCTTCAGTAATTCGAGACATGTCTGGTCTCTCAATTGTATTAACTGACAACTGTTTATTATTAAATTGTGTATGAGAATTATTCAAATAATATTCGTATCAGAATTCTTCCTTTAAAATATATGCGAAAAGTAGACGAGAGTGAAATCGAAGAGAATATTCTGGTACTTGCATATCTCCAAGAAGTGTTCTTTGAGAACAATTTATTTAGCGCTAAACATAGAATAAATGTGAAACAAAGGTTATTAAGTAATGGTCTGGAAACATCTACAACCAATAATATCACTCATATGTGTGTCTCGCTGGTTGCATGCAGTTGCATGTTTTATGTTCTCAATTCCCATTCCTTTCGAATTATTTTGTAGGTTAGCAGGTATATGTTAATGTAATTTTCGGAGTTCGTAGAAAAAGCATAGTATGTAACGCGTTTATAAACTCTTCTAGACACTCGTTTATTAAACACTCGCTCCGCTCTGCTCCGCTTCGTGCTTACAGCTTAAAATACTCGTTATTACAAAAAGGACGTTTAAAACACTTGTTACATAATATACTATTAAGAATGGAAAGCAATGCTAACATACAAATATTCCCTCGTATTTATCCGCTATGTATAAGCAGAAGGTGTGACGTTCATAGTACGCTGGAAATAATATACTTGTTTGATTAATTCACAATTCAGTATCAAATTCTCTGTGACAGTGTGAGGGCAAAGCAGTTGTTTTCATTGTTCACGATAATTTCATTTTCGTTAGACTTATTGTACATAGGATACGATCACAAAAAATTATGCACAATTCGCGACATAAGTTCAGTCAATTAGTTTTTTATTAGGGTTAAATGATTATGACGATGTGTTACGGTAATTGGTTTTGTGTCATTGTTAGCTTTGCTCTATTCTGTATCAGCAGCATTTCTTCCAAAGGAGGTAAGATATTCTTACCAGACTATCGTCTTTGCACTAGAATAGGAATTGAAAATGTGTACCTATATAACCAGAGGTTAAAACATCGACAAAATATTCTCGGTATAAAATGTTCTTGATGATCAGTTAATGATATGCCAACCAGTTCTTACTTGAAATAGATAAGGAGATAGTGGGATGAGTACATGATACAAATAATATAATAAATGAGAGGTAACCAAAATATAATGGGTATACAGGGTGTATCTAAATAACACCGAAATAAAAATTCAAGGGGTGAATAGGAAATAAAGTTCATATAAACATGTGTCTTCAAACTTGCTTCGTTTTCGAGATACAGGGTATCAATATTTCCATGAAAAATCTTTTATGCATTATTTCTCAATTGTCTTATCATCGATTTCGATTCGAAATAATATTTCCAGTGGCGTCACAGTAGGTAAATTTATCTATATTTATGGTGCATGTCATTGTACACCACCGGTTTTTTTGAGTTTCATATTTTTATTAGATTGAACTATTGAAATAACAACTTTTTAATATTCTGTGTGATTTTTGTTTCTAGCTTAGTTTTTGAGGAAAAAAAATTCGATTTGGCTCCAAATTTTAATGTACTCATGTGGTTTCAAGACTTCCATTGAGATTACTCACTAACCCCAATTAGAATCATTTCGAAATTTGTCAGCTTATACAGGGGGGTTATAAATAAAAGCAATCAATACTTCCAACTTCAACATCCTGTATCTCAAACACGGAGCACTGGCGGATCTGAATAAGTAGTTGATATTGGTTCAACAATCAGTCTGGATATGCAACCAAAGTTACGTTATACAAACCAAAATTATTCGTATTCGTAGTTTTCGTATTGAATGGTTCCTCAAACACTCGAACATGCCAAATCAACTCTTTTTTGAATTTCATTCATTATCATATACAAATATTATATAGAAATATTCTTGTATGCAGTGGGAATATGGGAAAACGACACAGGCGGTCAGATCAAAGGGCGGCAAAACAGATAACGATAGAGGAAAAATAATTATTTTCAAGGCCGGGGCTTCAGTAAAATGCAAATTAGCGGTAAGCGGTGACCGGTGGCGGTGAGCGGCAAGAATCAAAAACAAAGGGAATAACTGAAATAAGTAGTTGTTTTTTATCCGAAACCGCAAAAAACACCAATTGGTTTTGAAAGAAAAGGGTGAAAAGGGTCATTTCACATTAGTTCTTCAGAACAGTAAGATTCAGTTCACAGATTTTTTCATTTAAAAAGAAAGAAGAAGTACCTAAGTGATGAGTGAAATTGGAATTATACTAAAAATTAAATGGTGAGTAGGTACATTGGCACATACGCAACAGTGAGATTATTAACGAGATTGATTTTTATATATTTTTGAAAACCGATAATCAGTGTATAAAATTTTACTCACTTGGATGAACAAAACTATTCAGAGCTGCAGATAAATCTTCAATACATTTTCGAGAATCATTTAATGTCTACATTCCTGAGTTTATTCCAACTAAAAAATGTATTTTAATGATCATGGTGTCATTGTGAAAATAAAATTTCAATCTCCTACCTATTCGATCTGGAGAACTTAGCTGAGCTCTTTAATTTTTCAGATGGATAGAAGGAAGATTAATTCATACTTTTTGCCAGTACAAAAAAAGCGGAAAATTGAACAACCAATTCAAAGTATTCAAAGCGAGGCAGGGCCGTCATCTTCAGCTTTAGGAAACCGTGACATATCAGAGGGAAATATTAAAAAATATCTCAAAGCATCCAAAGTGAGGAGAAACCATCATCGTCATCTCAAAACCCTTATATGTCAGAAGAAAATATGGAAAATGAAAATATTTTCGATATAGGTAAAGCAGTTGGGCGAACAATGAATGACTATGAGAAATACAATTTCTTGAAAAATACTTGGCATCCGCCAATATTCTATATTCATATACATATCATTCATTATTCATGTGGTTTCAATTACTTTGGTTTCAAAATTCCATTAACTCACGGCCCATGGCCCCCCCCTGAAAAACTGCCTAGATCCGCCACTGACACGGAGCAAGTTACGACACATGTTTATAGTAATACCAAGCATCGAAATGGATGTCTTCAAAGGTATGGTTACTCCTGATAAGCTTATATATGTTTGGGCACAATGAGATTGGCTTCTCTAGAGAAACGGCCTGCTTGTGTTTTGTTTGCATTAAAATCTACCAAGTTATTTGGATCCCCATTCGAGAGTTGTTGTCAAGTCCATATTTACCCAGCGAGCACAAAAACATCTCAGAGATGTTAAAAGTACGAGATTTCGAGACATTGAACCTCTACTACGATGTTCTGTTCACACATGAATAGAACTATTATAGAACAGCCAATGTCCGCCGCAGGCGGCAATTATCGAGATGTCCTTATATATATGTCACAAAACTACCTTCTCCCTAGTTCTTTTTAAAGCCTTTCCATGGACACCACAGAACATTTTCAACGCGTCTTGCGCACTTTAAATCGCTGTAAAAAAAACATTTCCGAGGTACTTTTCTGAAGCCTTTTGTCAAAATGAACTTGTGCATTAGGATTCCATTTCCCTTGAATGAAAAAATGCATTAAAAATAGATTGAACATAAAAATATTTTCTTGATATGAAATTTTACCTTCTTAATCGGTTTCTGAGTAGTGCTTACTATACACAGACATATAATCGGAAATAGGTTTCCCAATTTTTGAAATGTTCTCCACAATGCATGATTTTGCAACTGCGGAGAAGCTGTGTATTGATGAATTCGAACTTTTATATATTGATTACACTGAGGCACCGAACAACACATCTTGCATCTGATGGTCATTATTACAAACTAAATAATAAGTCTTCTAACACAATAAACTTCACCAAATTTCTTTCTGTTCGTTAGCAGCGTGATATAAGCGTGACACGCTGCAAACGCGAATGCCAATTGCGAACAAGAAGAACAAAATCGAAAACAAATCAGAATTCATCGTATTGTGACGTACGCATGAGACGTTGTGGTGGGGCAAACAAAGAAAGGGCACAAAAGAACAAAAACAATATTTTCAATATCCTTCTAAGACCTCTTTGGGAAGTGCATATTACGCCTCAAAAAAACATCCTCATGCCTACATTTCTAAAACATCCCAACACATCCGAGGGATACCTCTCAGTAGGCAAACAAAGAAATGCCACAGAAGAACAAAAACAATACTTCAATATCCTTCAAAGACCTCTTCGGTCAGTGCATATTACGTCTCAAAATAAAATCTTCATGCCAACATTTCCAAAACATCCCGAAACATCCCAGGGATGTTTGTGCTCGCTGGGTATGTTGTCAACAAGTCTTCCTCGTTCGTTTCTGATTTGCCTGATGGCTGGTATTGGAACCCTGGAAGAGAAGCCGGTATGGAGGGTACTATCATCCGCGAAGCTGTGTATTGGACATGAAGTTGCTTCCAACAAATCGTTGATATGGATAGTGGAAATAGTGATGGAGCTAGAATTGATCCTTGCGGAACACCAGCATTCATGGTGAGAGTGTCAGATGAAACTCCGTCGACCACTACATGGAGAGACCTGCTGGAGAGAAAACTAGCTAGCAGAGAACATAGCTGGGGAGCCGGGGAGGCAAGCCATAAGCTGGAAGCTTGGCGAGGAGTCCGTGGTGCCAGACTCGATCGAATGCCTTAGAGATGTCAAGTGCCACGGCTAAGGTTTCACCATATTTTTCAGTCATATTGTGCTGAATGTCGAGAACTGACAAGACCACGCCCACAATAAGTCGTGCGCGGGGTTGTGTTCACCGTTTCAAATGTCCTCTAGTGTGAATTAATATAATTATTATTCACACACATGTATTATGAGCAATAAGCCACAAATCATGAGAGAACATTTTGAGACAATTGCATTTTTATTGCTAATTAGGAATATTACAAATGCTCCACAATTTATATAGGGTGCATCCTCAGAACCAACGGATATTATTTTCTCTTTTAGAGTTACAAGCAAAAATTCATTCATGTTGCTACCTACTTTTTCAGGCTCATCCAGATGTGGAAAAGTGCATTTGACAGTTTCATCTTACGCAGAAACCTTCTTAGAACTAAACTGGATAACAGACTGCCAAAGAGATGCTACAGTTCCTGAGTATATCATATTATCAACGAAAAATATACAAGATAGAGACGTGAGTGCGAAATCATCACTCATCGTTGAATGTTTCCCAAAAAAATTGTTATTTATACACCTAGGTAGTAAAGAATATGAATATTACCCATCAGTGACCAAGAATATATATTCTGAGGCTTCCACTAGCAATATATTAAAATTTAAATCATTATATAGGGTTGACCAAAGAAAACCGGAATTTTGTTTTTGAATGACTTTTATATTATTGAACTCTATCCATTGATTCTGGTCTTGTTTGGAAGATAATTGAACGAGACCAACCGTCAACTTCATATTTTTTTAAATTGTTCCAGGAAACAAAATGGCGGACACGCCTAAACTTGGTCAAATTTTTAACTTGCTGGAACTTTTTTGAGTCGCACTGTATATTTTTGCGTATGCATATTCTGAAAGTGTGTTGTTTTGTGAATGGAACAAGAGGTCAAAGATACAAATCCGTTGAAAATTACCTGATATATGACAGGATGAAGACAGGTGCATGTTTTTTCAGATCTGGATTCCAATTTTTATGTATTCAACGGATTTTTTGTTCGAAAAATAACGAATTACTTTATTTACTCCATCGTACAACAAAGGGGAAAAAGGATTAAACAAAAAAAAACAAATAAAAAAAAATTAAATATTCACATGGACAATCCATTATTGTCAAATTATGTATTTCACTGGCGAAGAAACATCTAATGGTAGTCTATTCGACATTACTGGAAACACAGTGAAATTATTTTACCGCCCGATCGCCAACTCTACCGTCCGCCAGACTACTTTAACGCCCGCTGTACTCCTTTATCGCCCTGGGGCGCTGAAGTGCTACTTTACTCCCACGAATTCGGGTGATAAAGTGCCACTTCACGCCCGGTCGTGCATAGAAATAATTTCTCATTTATGATGGAATCAGCCACCATGATGGTCACTCAGTAATTTTTTCTAAATAGGAGGAAACTGCTAATATTTGCTTACTTGCACTTTGAGTTCGATCATATCATTTAGCATCGCAAAAATATAAACTATCACAACTGAAATATAACTGTATGTCATGAATTATACATCAGGGATGCTTTTTCGAGTTACCTATAGGTCGGGCGAAAAAGTAGTCCGCGGGCAGTAAAGTACCACTTTACGCCCGCAAAACCGGGCTGTAAAGTGCTACTTCACGTTCACGCCCGGTAGTGCATAAAAACTGTTTTCAGGAAGATCATGGTGTATTAAAGATGGTTAAATTCAAGGACTACCCAGACGGTTTTTTCAGAACCAAAGTGAAATTCGGCCACCCCTGGCTACCAGGTGGTTGGGAAGTGGGCGAGAATGTCAAGCCCGACCCTGGACCGCATTGTTTCCCCTACTGGATATCATCAGTATCCAGAAACGGCACCATAGATTCCACGTGCCTTGCTATACAGCCTACTTGGATGAGCGATAATAGGTACAAGAAAGGTACCTATTTGAATATTTGTGGAAACAAAAATATTATACAGTGTGACCCACTAATTCCGACGAACATTTTTTGAATTTTGGAGCTTCAAAAAATGAAATTGTGATTTTTCTCTAAAAAACCAAATGCATTGGTATGATTTTTTTGTCATGAGAGAGTTGCTAAACGATGCCGAAACAAGCTCGTATAAACCGCATCTCGATATTTTTATCCTAGCCTAAAATCTAGGTCAGAGAAAATGTTATACGGAAATCCTTTAAATTTTAATTTTTTATACTGTTAATTCGTATATTTGAGGCCTTTGAATCCTAAAAAGGACTTGAGAAAAAAGGGTTCTAGGTATGTTAAAAATTTGAATAAAATAATGCAAATAGTATCCAAGTGTTGTGTTTGTTGTCTTAAGCTCATTTCCATATGTACATACATCTGTCAAAACTGAAACCTGTTAACATTTACTGCAGTATTTGATCGATTCTGTGAAATCCGCAATCTCAAGAAGCGATCATCTCTTGGAGAAGTTTTTCGGGGGCGACCAGAACCGACCCTCCGAGCGGTGCTTCCTGTTTGTTCGTACTTGCAGATTGCTCTACGAGCAGTTGCTTCATGAACTCCCACTGCACGAGCGGCGTAACGTTTACTACGCCCATCGTTTACTAACGCCACTAATCTTGCTACTTGTTCAGGATTTATTTGAGGCATTTTATGTAATTTTAGTCAATAAAACAAGACACTTAATTAATGACACAACGATAAATGGTCAAATATGGAGGCATACAACAAATTAGTTGCTATGGCATTTTTGTTTATTTTAAGACAATGACGTGATCCTACCAGAGTACAACCCAATCAATTTTGAGTATTCTGATCCTTCAATAAATTTAATTTGTGGGATAATCGTAAGGTATCAGCAAAAAAGCTGTAATTCGGAGAATTATAGAGATAAATCAATGAATTAAATAACAAAATGCTCGCAAAAGGAGCCTCTTTCGTATAGGGTGTAAGCACTTTGTATACCATTACTCAATTAACACACAGGGTGAGTCAAAAATTAAGAATAAATCATGGTTCGAGTTATTCCACCACCATCAAGGAGGTAAAAATTTTCACCTCTTCATTTTTCTTAAAGACAAATGCATCACCTACCAACAAATGAAAAAGAATTAAAATCGGCCTACTATTTTTTTTTTCAAGAAGATAGGTCAAATATCAAGTGCGTCACTGTTTTTGGAACTGAGTGTATATATTTCCCCAAAACCCAAATATTCCATGCAAAAACAATTGGATATCATTTACGGTTCCACTGGAAATAGACCTAGGTCAAGAATTCTGAATGGACAGATATTTTCACGTCACTTCTGAGTTCTGAGAGCAAAAATTCATATCACAAGTGGACATCCGTTTCCAAAATAACGGTGCAAGATACATTTTTTCAATCAATATTGCAAGACAGTGTACTCCGATTAGATTTTGAGGAAACATGCGAAAATAAGTGGATTCACCATTAGAGTTATTCACATCTTGTTCAGAGTGAATATTCATTTCTCCAATTAACTTTTCACACCATGTATATATTATTTAATTTTCTAGTGTTTCTTTGGGGAATCTGAGGTTGGGGTCAATTCTGATACCAGGAACACACAATTCTGGATCTTATTCTGGAATAGTGTCTTTTTTGGAGAACTACATACTCAACCAAGATAGAAGCATTTGGACCCAGCTGGTCTCTGGAATTAGATATCTGGATTTCAGGATAGGGTATTATGAAAAGGAAGGGTACGTACCTATTTCTAAAAGATTTTTCTTAACCGTTACGATTTTGAAGGAACAAAAGTCAAAACACAATAGAACCTAACATTTCAAAATGTAGAACATTTAGGTTCTTCCCAATCAGCACCAGACATCTTAAAGACGTACATTTTACGACTTACTTACGTCTTTACGTCCAGGGACGTATAAAGTACGTCTTTAAGATGTAAATCCATGTACATCTTAAAGACGTGCACGAATTTACGTCTTTAAGACGTACATTTTAGGTCGTATCCACGTCGTTCCTCCCATGTCGTATAAAAGACGTCTTAAAGACGTACATTCCAGTACGTCAATCCGACTTATAGAACAATAATGTAAGTTATTTTCAGAAGAAAAACAAAATGTCATCTCTTCACGTTTTTTATTTTCAATTGTTCAGTTTTTTCTTATTTTCAACAAAAGTGATGTTTTTGAATTTTTTCGTCCGACATTTTGGAGCCTTCGTGTTAGATTCTCGAATTTTTACAAAAAAATCATTCTCCGACCCCAAAAGTCCCATAGTAATCAATTTTGAATAAAATCGGACTACAATCACAAAAATCGACGTCCGCCATTTTGAAGCCGACATCTTGGATTTTTCATTTTCGACAAAAGGAATTATAATCTCTGATCCCGAAATCCTTCAGATGCCAATTTTGAATCAGATCAGACCATAATCAGAAAACCATATGCCACATCGGATTCACCATCTTGAATATTGAATTTTGATTCGAATCGGAACTTAATCAATGAGAAAATCGTCCGCCATATTGGATCCGCCATTCTGTTTTTTCCATTCAATAATAATGCCAAATTTCAAATCAATCGGACGATTTGAAGTGAGTCAAATTTAACTTGCACGTTTTGATTACAAACAGACACAAGGACATGTTAAACTAAGTAAAAGCTTGTTATGTGATATATAGAACAAACAGAAGAAGTGAGTATGGTATAATCATCGAAGTCAAGCAACAAAGAGCGCGGTTAGTACTTGAATGGGTGACCGCTTGTGTCTACCATTTGATGAAGTCGTTTATTTTCCTTTTTTTTTGCTTGTCTGCACTTGTTGCTAACTTCAGTGCACAGGTGAAAATTAACTGAAACTATGTGATTTTTCCGTAATTTGAAAGATCAATTTGAGGTCATAGACCAAAAACACCTAAAAAAGACGTATTAAAGACGTACATATTAGTGGAAAATGTACGTTTTAAAGACGTCTTAAAGACGTCTCTTAGGCGTAATATGTACGTCTTTAAGACGTACTTATGTCCTGACATGTACGTCTTGAAGACGCCTTTAAGATGTACTTTGGCTGATTGGGTTGTGCTTCATCAGGGTTTTTTTTTCAGGTTCTACCTGAACCATGACCTAGTCAGAGTTACCAAAATCTTGCCACTGCTGCAGGACATAAAAAAATTCCTGCAACAAGCGCCCAAAGAAATAGTGGTCTTGGATTTTCACCGATTTCCATTCCCAACAAATTTTTCTCTCAGCCTACACAGAAAATTTGTCGATTTGATTTATTCAGAATTGGGAGCTTTTGCAGTACCCTCTGTAGATATGGAAATCGGCAAAGGGCCTACTCTGAATGATATTTGGAAGAAAAACAAGAACCTAATTATCTGTTATGCAGATAAAACAACAGTAAGAGGTACGAACACCATAGGGTGTTTAGAAATTCTCTTGCCCAACTAACATTGCACACATAAATTGTTTCCTGAAGCCCCAAAGGGTTGCTAGTGCCCTTCGAAGATGACATATTCAAGTCTTAATTATTTTTTTATATATCTCAAAAATAATCCGAATCAGTACCATGAATAACACGCTATGACAAATCGTCTACTGTAGATAAGATTTTGTTGATGCCATCACAAGCGATCCAACTCAGAGATCATCATATATTTTTCATTTTATTATTTTTTTATTTTTCGATGTCTTTGATGTCTTCTGGTCTTATTTCAACACTGAGATTAGCTCAAAAATGGAAGGTTTTCTTCATTCAACTCACTATCATGTACCGTTCTAGAGTAAAATCAATTCAATATTTTGGTGTTCCTGGCATAACTTGATTATTGATTAATGATTGATTAGCTTTGACGAGAAATTAGCGAAATCAGATAACACTGAATGAACTTGTCTAAATGAGTTATTATCTTCAAAATTCACTAAATTTCTTCCTCATGCAGAAATTTTGTATAACATCCAGTATGTGATATTTATCAGTAATTTTCAAGAAAAATACGAGTTTCCCGGCGAATAATTACTGAATATTTATGGTCCTTCGAACCGGATCTGAACCAACGACCTATGGATCTTCATAAATTTCCAGTTTTTATTCGTCAATTACCAGAATTTCACTAATGAATAGCCTGTCTGACTTTTTACAGATATGTCACTTGCAGTTATCATCTGCAAAAATCTTCAGGAATACAAAGGGATTCCGAAAATATAATACTACAGAGTATTCTGGATCGAATCAAGCAACAACATGAAGTATATATTTTATTTTATTTTTTAGAAAATTATTTTCTGTGGCATCCTCTCTCTCAGTACTGGGGGAACACGAAAAGCGAATCCGTCTTGAAAAGTTTCCTGGAAAAGTCAATTTCCGAGCAGGACAATGCCAAATCAGTGAACCCGTTTTGGGCTCTCATGGCTGAGCTGACCCCTCAGCCCATAGACCTGGTCTTCAGGACGAACAATCTCAGGAAACTGGCAGCGGAAATCAACCCTAGAGTCACCAAGTGGTTCAGAGACGAATGGGGTGCAAAATCGAATATCGTGGCAACAGATTATTTTTTGGGAAACGATATGATTAATGTCGCTATCGATATCAATACCCACAGAAATGTATAGTTTAATGCAAATATCAATAAACAAGTTTTTTTAAAAAGAATATCCTAATTAAATGGTCAAGTCTTTAAAAACCATGAAATGTACGTATTGTATAATTCCAATTACCCTTCATATACACAATTGATGTTTTCATGGATACTACAGAGTTTTGTTATACAATTGAGAAATTAATAAAGAACCTCCAATGTCAGAAAATAATGTCAAAAATAAATAATTCCGTTATTAAACAACTGCACTATCTGTATCAAGTAGGAATGAGCCCCATATTTCTGTAGGGGAAATCCTACATGATCCGGCCCGAAGGACCATGTAAAACAGATAATGTAGGAGTTTAATAACGAAATTATAAATGTTTTATATTTCAGACTGCCACTGGGAGTATTCTTCATTGATTTCTCAATTGTATAACAAAGCTCTGTAGTATTCATGGCAACATTACCAGTTTTGTATATAAAAGGTGGACAATAATAGTTATATAAAATTATCATGTTATTCTAGTTCTCATCAAGTTTCCAACCGAATGATGAGAACATATTCGTCATTCACTTGGAGTTATTTCTTTCATTGAAATGTTTTTATTTATTCGATAATTAAAGAACTTACGACCCACACTCACCATTGAAATAAAATCACCGAAATAGTACAATATATTATTTAATGAAACGAGTAGATCATAAAAAAGCTTGAAACTAAAATTATCAGTTCCGTAATAAAAAAATATCAAAAAATCAAAGTGATGTTACTTGCTTAACGAATATCGCCATATTTTTTGGTTTTCATCTCAGTTAACTTATTTCATTCTTTGTAGAGGGTTTCATCTATCGAAGAAGCCTACTCCCATATACACGTTAGTTCTTTCTAAGAAAAGTAAACTGCGGAAATTAGCGACCTTTGACAGAATTATCAGAGGATGAATCCTAGAAGCGCGACAAACTACAAATCCGTTTTCTCTGTTCTCCATATCTTTTTCGAAATCTAAGATTTTTAAATAAGGTTTATCACGCTGTTTGGGATCACGATAAAAAACTTTTGATGAGGTCTCATTACGTCATATCCGAATATTTATTGTTTTTTCTTCTCGGTTAAAAATAACGTATATAAGGGAGGGACTCTACAATAGAGTACTCTTACAAACGGTTATAAATAGTATCGTACAATACAATATTACACATAAAATACTCCTTTACATAGTAGAGAAGAAAATCTGAATCGAAAATCATGTCACTGGTCTCTAACCAGCAAGAATCCGTATTATACTAAAAATATAAATCTTCACTGTTTAAAGACCAGTCAAAGTCCAAACATATAGAATTTCAGCCCCTGAATGTCTTCACAAACATGTAAACATACCTCATCTATAATTATTCTCATAAACAAAATCACAGAATTCGAAAATAAGAACAATCGCAGTCTCTTCCCACCAATACAACTTCCAGAGTTAGGTATGACTTCTAATAAACAGAGCGACACCACAGTCCAAGTGATACTCTCAAATCTCGGACAACATTTCCTACCCTAAATTCATATCACAGACGAAGTATCTCGACTCTTTCCTGCCTCGGCATCCAACTGGTCCATAACCAGAGACATCTCCCCGATGGGCGCCGCGGACTCGATCAAATTCCGCGCGCTCAACGACGTCATGGCGTCGCTGAAATTCCCCATCCTCGCGTTATTCCTGGCGTTCACCGTGCTCCGCCTGAAACTGCTGCGCAGAATCGACGCCACCTCCGCCGCCGTCAGTGCTGTCACCGAACTCTCCAAGTTCCGCAGCCGCTCCAGCGTGGAGAGTCGCGCGCTGCATCCAGCCTGAGCGCTCTCGTCGACGGTCGACGCTCGACTGCCGTTCATCTCGACCAGCACGGCGTTATAATCGGGTGGTGGGGGTAGCACGGGCGCGCGCTGCCTATTGGAGCTGCTTTCGCCAAGGGCGTTCGCGATGCGCCGCACGCTGCGCCGGATGCTCTGCCTGAGCAGCTTGGCCAATCGGGCGCCCGTCGCCGTGGTGTAGGAGGGGGGCGGGGTGTACTTGGGCGGGGGGTCCGCCGTGAGGGCGGCCGTGGCGGTGGCTTCTTCGCGCGCCGCCGTTGATAGATCTCGGGCTGCCAGTTCGTCCATGTGCTCGCCGATGGGCGGCCTATACAACAGCTGGATTCGCTGGAAAATTCGATGTGTGGGTTTATTCATTCATTGAAAATATCACTTCAAGTCGAAAGCAAGCTTATGATATTTGAACAAAGGCAGCTATTAATTGAAATGACAAGAGGTGATGAGGTGAGATTTGCCATTACTGTATTATTAATTAATTAAGGGTATACGTATTATAAAATGAGCACAAAGGTCCTAGTGGCTAACACACCTTTATTTATAAGGAAATAAGCTCCATGTTTTAAGAAACCGACGTGATGATTTTTATGGTTTCAAATTCAGAAACCCAGAAACCATGCAGATTTTCATGATTATATTAACTTCTATTATACCGACATAAAAACCGATAATAATACTCTGAATCTTGTTTTTGCCACGCCTCTCACACAACCGAATTGGTGGAATTCGAGCTTTTATATTTCATTTCTATTTTGCATCCTGTTTCTATGCTTGTTACATTTATCTTGAATCTTGCACCATGAACCCTAAAACTTATTGCATAAAATTCCAATTGTGTCGCAGCCTTAAGGAATCTGAAGATATTTTGGGTTTATTTCAGTTCTGATGATGATAGTCGTGAGGAAACCAATTGATGTACGAGTATTTTTATATTTCATTCAAGCTCTGAATATCTCCATTTATGAGATATTCTGTGTTGAAATCGTGACATTCAAGTAATGCGTGGTTATATGCCTCAAAACAATAAGTCATCTTTCAATGATAATAATTAGCCTACTCAGGAATTAATTTTTGTATATACCAAGAGATCGGAATTTAAGTTATTTCATTATATTGAGTCAATATATATATATATATATATATATATATATATTATAGTTGTTATGAGTCTACAGCATCAGTGGAAAACATAATTATCAGTTCCAGTTCCAAAATATGAAATAAAAAATGAAACTGAAGGAATATGATGGAATTTGTTCATAGCATGCAGAATTCGTATTTAAATTGCGTGATATATGATGGGAAATGCGATTTCTTAGTGTACAATGAAAACTAGATATTTTTATACTAACATAATCCGTAGGGTCCACGTATTCATCCTGTGCCAGCATTGGGAAAAATATTTCTCATGAAGAAGTAATTATTGAAAAATATTATCAAATATTTTGTGGGGTTTGAAATGAAATATAACCGCACAAAAATCATCTGAAAATATGAATGAAAAAATAGTACCTACATCCAAAATATCACTGGGCCCATTATTTAAATATCTATAACTCTGTATAACAGCGACCAATGGTATACAGAGTATAGGAAACAGTTGCAATATAGATCCAACTTGCCTAGCCCAAAGAGGCCAATACTCTGCTACTGGGGCATGATGCCAAATGAACATATCCCTGAAGCTGCCATTCTTGAAAGTAACTATGCACAGAAACTGAAAAAAATAAATCAGTGAAGAAATCATTCGACATTGAATTTCTACAACTCACCATTAAAGAGACAGGCAGTATAACGTTCCAAGTGAATGACAACAAAGCTGGCGCCCAACTAAGAAAACACGGGTGACTGCTTTGGTAAAACAGAGCTGTCACTACAGTATCTCCACTATAAGGACGTCCACGTACCATAAAAACTGCAAGGATTTGAAGAAGTATGACAATCATGAGCCACCATACCCCTCCGACGGTGTAATCGAAGAAATATACTACGAATATTCCCATCTGAAAGAGAAAAAATTAATAATACCTAGTAGTATGAAATGGCATTGAAAAGGTGTCAAAATAGTTATTTGCTTTACTATATAGGCAGAAAAGTACAAGATTTAATGCCGCAGCTGGCGTTTCATAGCCAAGGCATTACATCTTCTTTTCTAAATCTCTGTGTAATATGACACTTCCCAACCTTCAACGACGTTAGTAATGACAACACTACATATATGGTTGTAAATAAAAACGATTTCAAATTGATAAGGAAATTCGTGAGTGATTCTACTTTGAACTCAGGCTATTTTTTGGACCACGAAGTTATCAATGTTGACCAGAAGTTTTCTAATACTCAACTTGGAAACAAAATTGATGTCATTAGATCTCTTAACGGAAAAAATACAGGAATTGAAAAACTGTAGCGATCAAGAATAAAAATTTCCCAAGATTATAAGGAAATAGAATGAAAACACCTTCCAAATGAGGTGTCACTCGGACCTTTTTCGTTCCGAATGTCAGAGTTGATCTACTTGGTGGTCTCAACATTCATTAACAGAAAGTGGGTCGTGTGATACATCATTTTGTAGCTCTCGAGGATCTCAATACCATTTTCACTCACCTCGGTGGCCATGGGGAGGCCCAAAATGAAGCCACACGCGCAACTGAAGAACGTGATGGTCGTTTCCCAGGACTTCAGAACGTTCGCCTTGATGGCCATTATGCCGGTGATGACGCAATGCCAAATCGCCAGCTGCTGAGCGATACCGAACATTATCAAAATGAAGTAAAAAAGGACAGCCCAAAATGGAGAGACTTGATCGGAACCCATAACAGCGAACGTCGCTGGTACCAATTCAGTAGCAAGCCGAAGAACCTGGAAAAAACTTTTTGGTAAAATCTTATATACAGGGTAATTTACCTTTAGGTTTTTCAAAACAAAATATCTCTGCGAAGTTCAATCTTCAGACCATAAGTTCATTATGATTTTGGAAGACAAACTGAATATTGGACAAAAATAGGAACTCACTTGATACCCACTTTCGGTGGTGTAATCCACAGTAGGTCTCATAACTTTTTCTCCCACGATGAAAGAGTTGTGAAGCAAGTTCCTAGCTGGAAAATTAGCTATGTTCGATGGAAGCGGATCGTTGACATATCGTAAAAAGGTGCCAGAAGACATTCGCTCTGAAAAAAATGATAAACGTACCTATACTAAGGGAGTTTTAGTGACGAAAGCCTATGGAAACTAGTTCACATAAAGCATTCTCATAATTGTGGATCAACAATTTTTGTATTAGTAATATACTGTATTTCAATATATTTTTCTACCGGTTATTCGGCTCGAAGGACCAATGATTGTGGATTAAAACTTCTCGTATTAGTATTGTATTTCAGTATAGCTAAACTCCTTAAAGAATTTTCAAATATTCGAACGTTACATAAAATTGCAGGGTATTTAGTTTGTGTTTTTTGAAAGAAGTAAAACAGCATATTTCATCAAAAAGTTGATGCATTCACGTTATATAACAAAAAATTTTTCATTGGATGAATTATATTAAATAGATTCTCTCACAGTTTCATATAATATCATGAACGATAATCTGAAATCCAATTTTGTTTTGATAAGAAACTCAGACATTCATGGTCATCACACGAGAATCGAACTTATTTCATCTTGATTCTGCTACTTCTATAATTGGCCAAACAAATTGACTCACGCTGCTCTAGCTGAATTCATTAAATTACCACATAATATAAAAAATTGCAAACATATTTCAAAATTTGAAATTGAATTAAAAAACACATGATTTTATTACGAAATGGATAAAATTGATATTTTGCCATCTACTGATTAGTCCCTGTGGCACTTTTTATGATTCTATCGATTTAGCATTTTTATATATTTTTTTAGAAGCTATTTTTTGTTGTCGTTGTTGTCACCTTATATTATTTTACTATTGTTGTTTGTAATCAACTTCCTCATACCAGAATTATATTTCTGACTGGAAGCTATAGTTTCTCAATAAACAATAAACAATATTACTACCGAGATCACTACTATATTTCAGTTACATGCACATCTGAATTGAATTCAAGTAATTGTGTTCTTGTCAAAATATCTTACCGAAAGAATTCGGGACATAGTTGTATCCGTATGACTTGAGTATCTGGACACAAGTGTTTGCCAGAAAAGCAACTAGAAGTAGAATAGTTAAGGTTATGATGGCTACAAGACTAGAATCTCTTTGAAGCAAGTGTTTGTGCTTATTGTGTGATGCTATCTGCATTATGGCAGCGCCCATAAGGCCCCACGTCATGAAAACTTCCTGACCCGCCGCTAACCAACTCTAGAAAGGAAAACAAAGTGAAAACTACTCAAAAAACAGTGTACAGTGTACTCACCTTTGAGTTTAGAAAAAAATCCCCCCACGAAGTCTCAGGAAAGATGACGTTAACGTACTCCGGAGGCATGAGCCCCAAGATTTTGGCACAAAGTATGAAGGTCCCGAACACCGGCAACAGAGTGAACGCGTAGATGACCTTGCCGTACGACCTCAGCCCTTTGCTCAAGGACACGAACACAATCATCCACACCACGGCCAAGTTGAAGGCCAATTGGAACTTGATGGTACCGTAGGCGTTGCCAGAAGGCAGGTGATGCCTCTGCAGCACCACCCCGTTGAAATAATCCGGCAAGGTTTCGTTGATTTTGTCTGTTCCATTATCCACCAAGATATCTGAAAAAATCCTACCGTTAGTTCCTAAAATGTACTTGACACTGCTGTTCTGTCGTTTTTTGTACTCTAATATACAAAAAACGTCAAAACAGCAGTGTCAAGTACATTTAGGAGCTCTAGTGACCGTTAGGCCAGAGCTTCTTCAGACAGCATTCCAAATCCTACTTGACTCACCAAGCCTATAGTGCTGATACGACTCCGCCCATCTGTACTTGTCCACCTTCGTGATGAACGAGTCCCGGAAAAAGACGAACATCCACGACACGCCCACTATGCTATAAATGCCAGTGAGCGCCTGCGCGACCAACAGTGACACGCCCACTCCTTGGAATAGCGGCGATATCCTCCACATGTCAATCACCCCAGCGGCTAGCTGCTGCCCGAGGCACAATTGCAACGTGAACAAAGGCAGACCGAAGATGACCGAGAGGAACACGAACTGGAAGATGAAGTTCGCACCGAAATGGACGGTCAGGATAGAGAACCTGGAGATGTTGAAGAGGCCGAGCGTGCAGCCCAGACAGGCCATCATCGAGCTGAGGCTGTGAGGCCAGTGCCCCAGGGGGCTGTCGACCTCCGGCATGTCAGTCTGCCTGTTCCTCTCACATGATCTGAAACAGAAACGAGAGATTAGCGCGGAGCTATATTAATTCACCCCAAACAAGATTTCCCTCAGAATGAGATATAGAGAAAGTACAGTTCTGTAAATACATCGAAGACTAGAACCTTTGGCACGATAGGAGACTTGAATATGGCATCTTCGAAGGGCACTAGCATCCCTTTAGGAGAAAGTTTTGTTAAATAGACATGTCTTGGTCAAAATTAGGCAATTTATTAGGCAATCCGAAAGATAAAGTGGACACCCTTGAAAAGTCGGGAATATACGAAATGAGTTGTAATGATTGTGATAAAACATTTATAGGCCAGGCGACCCATAAAAACAAGGTTCGAATAGCACATTCGACATATGGTATGATAAATCGTGTGTAGCTGAACATATGTTCAATCACAATCATGATCTAACACACATATTCCTAACCTCAAATTAGTTAAGCAAGTTAATAATATTAGAAAATGTCTCCCGAAAGACGCATAAAAAAGCTTAGCCTGAAATTTCTTAGATATAAGCACTGATACTGGTACAAGTTGGGGAAGTTTGCACGTCAGCAACTAGTCCCTATAACATGGGACCTTTCTGCAAGCCTCAATGTGGTTAATGATGTGGTTCGCTTAAGAGAGCTGGCTAGCACCCTTTCCAGGTACCGTCCATCAGCTCTCTTTTCAGAGTTTTTCGGTTGTGTTTTGTAGTAATGTACTCACTATCGTATACTGCAGTGGCAGGCCTGCCAGCTACCTCGTTAACCCCCGTTAGAGTCCCACTGTAGCTACGGAGAAAAACCTCGTTGGTTATAGAAAATGGAGGTGGCCGCTTCTCTAAGGACGCACTGTATTCATCCCTCATGTATACAATACAATCTACCTCTGAATAAAAAAGGCGTTCATCTTAAAGAAATATTTTATTCAGGCTCTGCTGAAGCCGAAAATATACATTATGTTCATGAATATATACATTATATCCACGAACAGAGTGACAGCTCCCAAGATGTATTCCTCAGGAGACATAGCTATCCTACCACCTCCCAAAATCTGCTGAGTATCGTACAACAGATAGACGCAGAACAACACGGTAGTTAAGCAAGCGTACACCAAATAAAATATCCTTGATCCAGTCACCAAAGTTACTATCAAAGCTATCAAGCCGTAAACCATGATCACTAGGGAAGCTATGCCTAGTATCATACCCCACGAGGTGATGTCACACCAGTTCTGCCACGCCACGAAGGTTATCAACAAGGTAACACAGACAGTGATACCAAACGAAATCAGCACAGCGTTCCTGTGGATGTTGACGGCTATGTAAGCTATCATGTAAGCCAGCGTCAGCGTTAGCACCATCAGCAGTAGATAGTTGGCAGGAAAAGCTCTTCTCACAGACTTCACGCAGTATATCAGAATGACCACGACCATGTAGACGACCAGGGACACTATCCACATTATCCTATCTTGCTGCACGTATCTCCTGGCCGGCTCATGAAAGCAGCAGCAAGCTATAATCCCGAATGCCATAAGCAGCTGCAAGCTGAGTATCGTGTAAACTTTATGGATGAATCTGTTCCTAATGCTTCTATCATCGAATGGATTGAATATATCCACCAGATTGGGGAGGTATGCAGGAGAACGTCTGGTGTCCCGCGGGGGAGGTCTATTGTAACCGCTGTACTCTTGGTAGATTGGGGTGGACTGCACTCGCCCTTGGTAGTGATAAGGTTCATCGGGATAGGGTGGTGGAGGTCTGTCGTCGATGTTGCTTCTCCCCACTATGATATTCTGGGACCTGGAGTTCCTGCTGAAGCGCGTCTCACCGACTGTCGTCGTGGCCTTTTCTTTGTTGCAAAAGTCTACGGTGGTATAGCTGTCGGGATCTTCGAGGCCGATCCTCACCTCCATAAGTCGCCTGCTGAGTTCCTCCAGTGAGCTCAACGGGCTCTTCAGGAAACAGAACTCGTCATTCAGTGATGAACTCCCTTGTTGCATTACGGGACTGTGGTCCAGCTCCACAGTTGTAATGGGTTTTGATTCTTCCTTGGTTGAAGATGAGGTAGCTTGGAAGTTTGCAGGCCCTCCCTTCTCGACAGTTGTCGCGGAGTTTGGGTTTGGGAAGTCTGCTGTTTCATTTTCGGTTATGCTGTGGTTTTCTGTCACTTCCATGTTGCCAATGATAGTGGTAAAGGTGACTTTTTCAGTTTTCACGTGTCAAAATAATGTCAAAATGAGCTTCAGGGTGTTTTGGAAGTGAATAATACTAGCTATTTACACACCAAGGTAGTATAGAATATTATTACTGGTCAGGGACCAAGTTTATATACCGAGGCTTCAGCCGAGAGGCGTAAGGTCCAGTGATAATAATATTCTTCACTGGCCACTACCAAAGTACTAGCAATTCGCTCTCAGTGACGCTCTTGATATTTGACCTATCTTCTTGAAAAAAAAAATAGTAGGCCGATTTTTTTTTATTTGTTGGTATGTAATGCATTTGTCTTTAAATAAAAAATAAAGAGGTTAACATTTTTTCAAAGCCTCCTTGATGGTGGTGGAATAACTCGAACCATGATTTATTCTTAATTTTTTACTCACCCTGTGTGTTAATTGAGTAATGGCATAGAAAGTGCTTACACCCTATACGAAAGAGGCTTCTTTTGCGAGCATTTTGTTTTTTTATTCAATAATTTTAAAAAACTTTTTATTAAACACAAAATTATAAATTGGGATGACTGCTTAATACCGTGTATTGCCTCCTCTAGCAACTCTAAGAACTTCTAATCTACGAGGCATACTGGAAATTAAGTTGCTTATCGTTTCCATTGGTATACGATCCCATTCTTCCACTAATGCGAGAATGTACCCTTCTCCCTGATTCATCCCACAAATATTCTATAGGATTCATATCGGGGCTTCTCGCAGGCCATTGTAATGTGGGACCAGTAGCTTCTAAGAAGTTTCGCACTATTGCTGCGGTGAGTGGTCGGGCATTATCCTGCATCAATATAAAATTATTGCCCACTAACTCTGCATAAGGTAAGACATACTGCTCTAAAATGTCAATGTTAATTTGAGCATTCATCGACATAACGGATCCACCATTTAAACTTTCGCATTCTGTTATTAAATTTTGATTAAACCGTTCACCAGTTCTTCTCCACACTCTTTTTCTTCCATCCACCATGTTAAGGCAAAACCTTGACTCATCCGCAAACAAGACATTCGACCATTCAGGAATATTCCACTGTCCATAATTTTCAACAAAATTTCCTCTAGCAGCACGATGTTCGAGCAATAATTTGGGACCTTTTGCAGGTCTCCTAGCTCTTAAATTAACTTCTTTTAGACGTCTACATACCGTCTGCTTACTTACTGCAACATCACGAATTTGGCGAAGATCTTGCTGAACATTTACCGCAGTATTTGATCGATTCCGTTAAATCCGCAATCTCAAGAAGCGATCATCTCTGGGAGAAGTTTTTCGGGGGCGACCAGAACCGACCCTCCGAGCGGTGCTTCCTGTTTGTTCGTACTTGCGGATTGCTATACGAGCAGTTGCTTTATGAACTACCACTGCACAAGCGGCGTAACGTTTACTACGCCTATCGTTTACTAACGCAATACTAATATTGCTACTTGTTCAGGATTTATTTGAGGCATTTTATGTAATTTAAGTCAATAAAACAAGACACTTAATTAATGACACAACGACAAATAGTCAAATATGGAGGCATACAACAAATTAGTTGCTATGGCAACGGCATTTGCTTTTTTAAAGACAATGTGATCCTACCATAGTACAACCCAATCAATTTTGAGTACTCCGATCCTTCAATAAATTTAATTTGTGGGATAAGCGTAAGGTATCAGCAAAAAAGCTGTAATTCGGAAAATTTTAGAGATAAATCGATGAATAAGAAAACAAAATGCTCGCAAAAGAAGCCTCTTTCGTATAGGGTGTAGGCACTTTGTTTACCATTACTCAATTAACACATAGGGTCGTGAGTCAAAAATTAAGAATAAATCATGGTTCGAGTTATTCCACCACCATCAAGGAGGCTTTGAAAAAATTGTCACCTCTTCATTTTTTTTTAAAGACAAATGCATTACCTACCAACAAATAAAAAAAAATCGGCATACTATTTTTTTTTAAGAAGATAGGTCAAATATCAAGTGCGTCACTTTCTTTGGAACTGAGTGTAGTTCTGTGAAACTGAAATATGGCCACGTGTGGACAATATTGTCATTATGAAAGCACTTCGTTTCTTCTTCTTTTTCTTCTTCTTCTTCTTCTTCTCTGCACAGGTAGGAGGGTGCGTAGACCCCTGCACTCAGGCCTCTTCAGTCGGGCCCATTGTGCGCCCACTTGTCCTGTGAATCAGCTGGGCATGCCGATTTCTTTGACGAAATTCAGCAGCTTCCTCAGCTGAGTCGCTTTCACATCCTTTGGGTGCAGTACAATGCTCCCAAAGGCAGCTCTCCTCTGATGCACCAGCGCGGGGCATTCAGTGAGTATGTGTGATGATGTTTCATCATCCTCCAAGCACCATCTGCAGATGGGATCATCTTTGATCCCTATGAGTTCTAGGTGCCTGTTGAGGTGGTTGTGCCCAGTTAAGATTCCAACTACCATCTTGAGATCCTTTCTATTAAGTTACAGGATCTCTCTCGTGAGCCTTTTTGAAGGTTCCTTTATATGGAGCTTTGATTGAGCACTTCGTTCCAATTATAATTAAAATCTATAGTAGCTATGACCATAACAGCATATGACAAATCGTTATTGATGAATAACGAGATAAATACCTACTAGATTCGAGTGACATTATTGCGAATCTCGCATCAGAACAGCGAAGTCTGCTTGATTATAACAGACGAATAATGATAAGTTTTATTGCTATAGTGGTGGAAAGAATATTTGAGATATCAAAAACTTCTTTTTATGTTCTGGTTCCCACAGGAGAAAGAATATCCCGTAATGTTCAGAGAACATCGTGAGAACCAAAGGAAATAAGG